TGCAGCCCTGCTGCTCCGCAGGACACGTGGCCTCCCCCGAACCTCCTGAAGGAGCCCCTTGTCCCTGGGCAGAGCTGGCTGGCTCCAGGCTCTTCTCTTGCCCCTGCTCTCGGATGCTGGCCCTGGAGGATGCTGGCGGATGCAGGGGAGCAGGGATAGGCAGCTTCTGTGCCTGCGCAGCAGCGAGGTTTGTAGGGGGACAGTGCAATGCAGCAACAGCTTCAGCTCTTGGGGCCCTGCACCAGGTTTGAATCTCTCCCCACCCTGCCTACATGCAGCCCTGCAGCCTGTGCAGGGTGAGGAGGAAGGGTGGCCTCTGCCTGGAGGGCTTTGAGGTAAATAACCCTATCTTTGCTCTTACAGCAGCAAGGAGCAAAGTGTAGCTTGGGCTATCATATTATAGCTGGGGAGTTCCCCGTTCCAACAGCCTTTAACACTTTTTTGACCTTTTATTAAGAAAAAGAAGTAGAACCAGTTAAGTGGGAAATTAAGCAAACCTTTCATCATAACAATATCTTTTGTTCCTTTTTATCTTTGAGGTAAAAACTTTTGTTAGGAGAACCTAACAGACTTTCAGCTGAGCATAAAGATGATGTTAGCTGTCATATTTGGGGTTTGGGAAAAAAACTTGGTGGAGACACCCTAGAGCTCTGCTGCTAAAACCCCCTCTTTGTTCTGCTAAGGCAAAACCAAGACAACTGCACACAATGGCAGATCACAACAGTAGTGAAGCCAAAAAAGTAACTTCTGTCTCCTGCAGCAGCCTTGCTGCTGCATAGATATAGACACATCCCATGTCCTATCTGCCCCTAGGAGACTGAATTGTGGTGAGAGGGGAATTATAAGCGAAAAAATGGGCTCTAAGAGCCAAATTAATATTTTTATCAATGACTTGGTCATAAAATAACAGGATCAGTCAGCGTAGCTAACAGGTGAGGTAGTGAAATGGTAGAGCAGAGGGCCGGAACAGCATTCAGGGGCAACGGGTGACATTGAAGGCTGAACTAACAGTCATGGGAGGAAATTGAATGGTACAGAATGCAAAGTCATGCCCTGGAGTCACTGAACAAACATTTATGCCATAAATTACACCCCCGATTTGGAAGTGATTAAAGAGGAAAAGGCCTGCATGCATTCAGCAATCTCAGGATGAATGTAGGCTGCCACATAATGCAGCCACGAAGACATGGTGCATTCTTAACTCTATTGGGATGTATTTCCAGAAGAGGCAGATAGTGCCAGTGTTGTTATACAGAGCATTATTTACAGACCATGCACCAGCCATGCTAAAAAACATGAATTCATTGTAGAAAAGGTGCAGAGAAGAGCAACCAAGATGACTGAGGGAATGCAGAGAGGAGATGAGAGCAGCCCAGCTTGATAGCTTGTCAAAACAGCCGTTGACGGGAGATAAGATTGCCCAGTGTAGCTTTATCAGTGAAAAACACTGGAGCAGGAGGAGATCTGCTTAAACTTATGGATGGGGTTTGCATAAGAGGAAATTGGTCTGAGCTGGCTGAAAAGTAGGAGGGTGTTTCTAGCTGCTGGAGGAGGCAGACTAGAACGAGCTCCCGGAGCAGAGGTATCGGGAGCCTGCCCATTTTGCAGAAAGATTTCTATGGGAAGCTGCTGCCCAGCAGGGAGCAGGCATGCTGACCCAGGAGAGCCCTGCCAGCCACGTTTGCTTTGTTCGGCTGGGTTGATATGCTCCAGCTGGGGTAATGGGCCTGGCTGGCTCTGTCCCCTGCGCTTGAGGGCACTGCCATGGAGGTCTACGGCCCCCATGAGTGAGGAACACCATCACTCAGCAGGGAAAGCTGCTGTGCTGTGGGCACCCTACCTGCTTCACCACTCGTGACTGTGACTTCGCCTGGCCTGTGGGCACAGCGATGGGTTTGCTGGTTTCCTGTTCCTTTTCCAGCAGGTCAGGTCCTGGGGCTTTTGCTCTCAATCCCAGTCGTCTCCCATGAAACTGAGAAGTTACCCAGCACATCCACTGTGGTGCGATGTTCCCGCAGGGACTGGGCAGCAGACACTCAGACTGCCTGGCCCTTTCTTTTTCCCTATTGCCCCCATGCCTCCAAAGAGTATTCAGATACTATTCAGATGCATTCAGTTATGCAACCAGCTTATAACTATGCAAATGTATGCAGCTTTTCCCTTACACAATGTCCTGTTTTCTTTCAGCTTCTTTTTTGGAAATTCAGCACTTCCTGTGGGAGTGCAATCTGAGTCCCGGGGAGCCATCTGGAAACCTCCCAGCCTCGGATCCCCAGGCAGGCTGGAGCTGGCACAGGCTCCTTTCAGAACCTCACCACCCTGGCTGCTTGAGTCCTGCTGCCCACTGTCCTCTGCTTGCCTACACAATCCAGGCCCCTCGGTCCACCTCAGAGCCAGTGGCACAAGCTGGTGCCAATTGCCTGCAAGAAGCAAGAACGCAGAGGTGGGGCCGCATCTGCATGGCCCATCCAACTCTGTAACCCGGCACCAGCCAACAGCAAGTGTGTAGGCAGCAGCGTGAGAACAAGGCAAGCGTATGCCAGCACTTCTCTGGTATGTCCTCAGAGGCCCCAGGGCTTTGTGTCTCTGGGAGCTACTGAAATGATGATCTCTCTCTTGTTATTTAGTAGCCCTTGATGGATTTTCCTCCATGGCTTACTCCAAACACTTTTTGAATCCATAGAAACTTTTAGCACCCAGAACATCCCACAGCAGGGAGTTCCTCAGCTCAGCTACCCAGAGTATGCAGAATTACTTCCTTCGACCTGAACTGGTCACATGCTGGATTCTGCAATAACCCTCAATCCTTGAGTTGGAAAAGGCAGTGAACAAATCTCCCCACTGCTAACTACTATGCCGTCTGCCTTGGTCATCTCTCCATCTGTGGAGTCTACTCAGTCCTTCCTCTTTCCTTCCCTATGTTTCATCATTCTTATGCTTCTCTGAGTCCTCACAAGATGGGACAACAAGATGGGACAACGAACACCTCAGGGGATGGTATTCTGCTCTCTGCTCCCTTCCTAGTAATTTCCAGCAACTCCATTCCCTCTGTGCAGCGGCGTCGATAAGCCTGGGAAGTCCCTGTGCTGCTGTGTGCCCAAATTAGCCCTGTGTTAGTCCTTTTGTTAGTAAGCTTCCACTGATGGACTGGCTCTGCTGCCCCTGGGACTGAAGCGTCAGGTCTCATGGGAACCTCTGCCAGCACCTTCCTACGCCTCCCCAGCAAGGATGGGTGCTTCTGCTGCAGGCCATGCCCCAGGGTGGTGGGCTCTGTGTGGACAGCTGCTATGGCTGTCCACGTGTGTAACGTGAGGGTGGCTGGGATGAAAACGTTCAGCCAGCCCCAGGGACAGCCCTTGTGCCTGGCTCTCCCGGTGCTCTCACATGGCTCCAGAGCACTGTGCACAGGGAACCCTCCCCACAGGCACCCACAGCTGTGGTGGGCGCATCCAGGGCTCCCTGCTTAGCCTCTCCCTGTGGGTGATACTCACTGTGGCTTTGGCCACGTGCCACCCACGCCACAGGCAGCGTCCCCAGCAGGATGGCTGAACCTGCCCGCAGCTCTGGGGGAGGTTGCAGCCCTTGCAGCTCTCAGGATCTGAGCAGGCCCCCCCAAAAACGTGCCACCGTTCCCTGGGGCGGTGCGACCTGGTGGTGGGGCTCATCCCTGGGAAGTCTGTCCCTGGCTAAAGGACTGGCTTGCATCTTCCCTGTCCCCTTGTGAGTGGAGAGCTGATGAGGGAGGTGGCGGGCATGGTGTGGTGCATGAGATCCAGAGCAGAGCAGGGCCCTGCCATGCGGCAGGGTGCTGCTCCCCATCTCCGGTCAGGGCTGGCAGGGCTGGGGCACACATCCCTGCGTGTACCACAGACCCCATGGAGCCCCTTGGTCCCAGCACTATGGCCCTGTGTGGATGGCAGGGGATTTGGGCATTTGGGGAGACCCGACAGGCCCTGGCACTGGGGTGCACAGCAGGGAGGCCATGCCATGCCCAGCACCAAGCCTCTGGTTGGGGGGTGCCTCAGGAGGGGGACTATGGGGACCTGCTGGGTGGCTTGATGAGACCCCACAGGATGGCAGGCCAAGGCCGGGTGCCCTGGTCAGGGCTGGAGCTTGGACTGTGGCGGCCCCGAAGGCCCCATGCTGCAGGGAAGTCTGTCTGTGGGACCCTGATGGGCTTTGGGGTGCCTTGGGGTGGGGGGGAACCCATGCTGGGGGGTCCAGGCTGGGGCAGCTGGACTGGGTGGGGGGCTGTCTGGGGGTGCCTGGGCTGGGGGGATCCACTGTAGGGGCCTGGACTAGGGGTATCCGAGCTGCAGGGGGGCTATGCTGGGGGTCCCTGCTGTGGGACCCAGACTGGGGGCAGCTAGCAAGTGGTGCAGGTGTGCAGGTCCGGCCCATCCGCACAGGCTGTGCAAGGTGTGGCTGGGCAGAGCCGCTTCCCTGACCAAGGGCTGCGGGTGAGCTGTGAGATGGCCAGGCCCCTGCCAGTGCGGGACCGACATGGCCAAGCCGGGCGGGATGGGGTGCAGAGGTGGAGGGCAGCTTTGCCCAGGAGAGGGGCAAGGGTTGGCCACGAGTCCACGGCCTGAGGGCCCCACCATGCCGGCAGAGGACAGCAGCTGTGTCACAGCCAGAGAGAGCCTTGTGTTGCACACACATGCATATACAGAGCCTGGTAACAGGGACACAGACACGCACACTGCGGGCTGTGCCCTGTGTCTGTCCACTCCCCCTGGCACCTCCACACAGCACAGGGCTCCCCACGGCATGACATGGCCAGCCCTACTCGTGGCTCTGCACACACGTGTGTGCCTGACTGCAGCACGTGGCTCTGCCGTACCGGCGCGCACAGCCTGGGGCACACGCTCTGTGGCACAGGCGTGCACGGCTCTCCAGTACACACCTGTGTGGCACACGTGCACGGGCACAGAACGTGGCTTCGCAGCAGACGGCTCTGCAGCGCACGCATGCACAGCTCCGTGACGCACACCTCTGCGCGTGCATGCAGGGGTATGGGTCAGGGAGCCATGCTTGCCCCCCCCACTGCACTGAGCGGCGTGAGGATGCTCCTGTGGGTGCTTCTCCCTCCATGACAGGCAGTGACTTCCATGCGCACAGGAATCTGAGGTTTCCCTGTCATACATGGGAGCACTCCCGCCCTGTGTACAGCATCGTCTCGCCCCACGGAAGCACCGCCGCTCCTGCGCGTGCACCCAGCAGCCTCTCACCATTGCAGGTGTCAGAGCCCTGGCACCAGCACCCCTCTCCCCGCAATGCTCACATGCAGTGACCTCTGGCAACCCAGCAGACCCCCATGACCCCAGCCTGCAGCAGCAGAGCCAAAGGGCAGGTCAGGGCTAAATGTCCCATGGGCGACCACAGCCACATGTGCTGTCCCCGCTGCTTGCTGTTCAGCAGGGCCAGGGTCCCAGCTATCCTGAGCAGAGGTTGTCTGTCCCTCTGTGCCTCTTCTGGGGCTGCCAGTTGTGCTGCCCGCAGCTCCTGCACTGGGGTTTCTGCCTGCTCCCATTCGTGACAGTCTCCAACCCATCTGACTTGGGTGTTGGCTCCACATTTCCCTGTTCTGTGTCACTGCCTGTGTGTGCACAGCAGAAAGCCGCAGCCACAAGCCTTCCTGGACCCTCCCCCAGAACCCCTCCGGGAAAGCTCCGCTGGGCAAAAGAAATCTCAGCAAAGTAGTAGTTGAGACAGCAAGGAGTTTAACCACGCACCCGCACTGTTCCGCACACAGGTTTGTCACCGCTCTTTCCTGCCCATAATTGAGTTATGTGGAGAGCGAACTCTCACAAGTGCCCAGGCCATGCCTGCCCCAGGAGGCAGAGCTCATTCCTCTTTTGTGGTGGGTGGTGCTAGTGGTCCTGGTGGTGTCTCTTCTTACGCTGTGGGCCTGTGATGACAGTGGTGGTGATGGTGATCTTGTTTATGGTCAGCCCTCCTGTGCCGTAAGTGTCGAGATGTGCTTCTCGTTTGTACTCGGAGACTTGCTTGGTGGAGAGGAGCTCCCACACTGACACCCTCTGCTCCTGGAACTGGCCAAAAGTAATGTAGGAGCCCTCGGACTGGAGGAGATCCACTGTCTGCTGGGGAAGGCTTGCAAGATGCCTTTCTTTGCTGTCTGTCACAATGCTGCTGGTGGTGTTGACCAGTTCCTCAATGGTGAGTGTCCCCGCACGATATAGCTCCAGGAGCTCCTGCCTTTTCTCCTCAGGGATGTAGTCAGAGAAGAGCAGGTCCCACACAGAGACCTGCCTCCCCTGGAACTCATCCATTGACATCTCAACTGTGGTGGACTTCAGGGTCTCTTCCCAGGTCCTGTCCTCCTGCAGGTAGGTGTGCTCAGCTTCTGCAACTGTCGACTCTGCTCTCGGACTGCTCGCATTTGCCAATTGCTCTGCCCCTGCTGCTTCTGCCTTGGTTACGATAGTGCTGACAACAGTTTTCACCTGCTCAAGGGTTAACTCTCCTGCCTGGTACAGCTCCAGGAGCTCCTTTCTGTTCTCCTCTGGGATATACTTGGAGTGGAGCAGGTCCCACACAGAGACCTTGTGGCCCCGAAACTCCCCAACCTCCATGTCGACGGCCGTGGTTTTCAAGGCTGTTTCCCATGGTTCTTCTTTGGGGGAGTCATCATCCTTCTCTCCTGCTTCTGACACAGTGTCCTTGTCAGCAGTCTTGACTGCAATTAGGAATTTCCTGCTTGTAGATTCTTTTTTCTTGATGACAATGGTGACAACAGTTATCATCTGCTCCAGAGTTAATACCCTTTCTCGGTACAGCTCCAGAAGCTCCTGTCTTTTCTCCTCAGGGATGTAGTCAGAGAAGAGCAGGTCCCACACAGAGACCTGCCTGCCCTGCAACTCACCAGCTGGCACATCAATGGTGGTAGACTTCAAGATGTTATCTAGTTGTGCATCTTGGGTTGAAAAATCATCTCCATTTTCCTCTGCCCTTGTCACTGCCTTGTGTGGACTTCTGGCATTTGCCATGAGCATGGCATTTGCAGCTTCTGTTCTGTTTATGATGGTGGTGACCACAGTAGCCACCTGCTCTGTGGTCAGTATCCCTGCTCTGTACAGCTCCAGCAGCTCCTGCCGCTTCCCTTGAGGGATGTATTTGGAAAAAAGCAGATCCAACAAGGAAATGTTTTGCCCCTGGAACTCACCAGCAGTGACATAGATGGTTGCAGACTTTAAGGACTTTCTCAACTGTTGGTCCTGGGAGTGTACATCCTGAACTGGTCGTGATGCTTCCACCTCATTGTTGGGTATAACTGTGGATGAGCTCAGATCCCCGTTTTCCATTTCTGCCTTGGTGATGATGGTGGTGAGGATGGTAATCATCTCCGGGATGGTGACCGTCCCTGCCTTGTATTTCTTCAGCAGCTCCTCTCTCTGGTGATCAGGGATGTAGCGGGAGAAGAGGAGCTCCCAGATGGTGACACTCTGGCCCTGGAAGAGCCCCACGTTGACGGTGGTGCGGGCGGCCTGCAGGGCTTTCCGGGAATCCTTGTTCAGCTGGTAGAGCACAGAGCCCTTGTCCATCACATGGAGCATGAGCAGCCCCGTGTCTGGGTCAGGTACGCAGCGGCGGAGGAGCTGTGTATAAGTGAGGTTTTCATGCGTGTTGGGGTCGAAGCAACTTCTCGTTTGATTCTTGGGGTTAGAAAGAAACTGGCACATCTCCTGGTCAAAGTAGCCGCGCTGGTAGGCCACCTCCACGGGGAGGCGGTGGCTGTTGACGGGGTCGATGATGCCGCCGGTGGCGATCTGGGCCTCCAGCAGGCGGATAGCGTGCTCCCTCACGATGAACTCTTTCTTCATGGCCTGGAAGAGGGAGATCTTGTGTCCTGTGTACGGCTCTGTGTACCCTGTCACGGCTCCCTCTGCCGACAGCAGCTTCTCATAAAAATCTCTGCCTATGAGTCCTGCAGTCAGTGCCTCTTTCACGGATAGTTTCTCGTTCCTCACGGGGTCGGTGAGGAACCCTGAAGCAGCCTGTGCCTCCAGCAGCACCAGGGCCGTACCCGGTGTCAGGAGCCCCCTCATCATGGCATCATAGATACTTATCTTCTTATTCATAGCCTGGATGAAGACTCCAGCTATGAAGTTACTTCCACCCCCAACCACCTCTTTGTGTCCCCCTGCAATCAGGTTGCTTGACTTGTTGTTCTGAGGGGGTCCACTCATCTTCTGCATTGTCTCTGGGCAACAGTCCTGCTACTGTGGGGCACTGTGTTTGTCTGAGGAGAGAGAAAGAAACATCTTGGTAAGACATATGTTCTTATGCAGTTTGCATGGCGTGTGTGAAGAAAGCCATCTCCGTGGATGTGGTAGCAGGAGCCCAGAGAGAAGCAGAGAGTGGGGCCTGAGGCTTTGCTGCCATCCTCCTCTCTCAGCAGCAGTCTCGGGGCCAAGAGTACCCCTTGCCCAGCTGCCTCTCGAACAGCGGATGAGAGCTCTCTGGAAGCAGCAGTGACAGCCCGGCCAGTGTGTTTTTGCCTGTTCGGCATGCTGTGCACCTCCCAGCTGCAGTGGTGGGCTCTACACATCTCTGTGCAGCTGGTAGGCTTGGTGCAGCGATGCAGCACTCTCATGACCAGATGGCGCAGAGATGCAGCACTCTCGTGACCAGAAGGCTCGATGCCTATGCCAAAGAGCTCCCGCGCTCAGGGCAGGAAAACAGATAGTGCCGTGAAGGGGAGCAGGCAAGGGAAGCAGAGCTGACCAGCACCTCAGGTACTGGCAGGCGGAGAGGTTTGAGGACCATGTCACAGAGTGAGAGATATGCACTCCGCAAAGAAGCATTATATCAGCAGCATGGATAACTTGGCCCCACTCTGGGCCCCCAGGGCGCTGCCTGCTCTCCCAGAGCCTGAAGCTGCCTCAAACCTGTGGCCTCTATGACTTTCCTCTTCTGTTCCTGGCTGACACAACCACTGCTTGCTTTTGGGCTGATGCCACAGGGTGCCAGTGGGCATCATGGCCACTGCTCACCTCCCTGTTCCCTCAGTACTGGCTCCTGTGCTGCCCTGGGTCTGGCAGATTTACCTGGGGGTCATTTGACAAGCTCAGGTTGTGCCAAGAAACAGCAGTGACTTCCTGATATGAGTGCCACCAGCGACTATCCAGCTGCAGAGAGGTGCTGGCTAGTGCTGCAAGTCATCTTCTGCTCTTGTCCACTTAGACCATGCTGCCTGGCTTCGTGCTGGTCATGGGCAGGCTGTGAGCGTGGTGGGACACTGCCAGCACCGAGCAGGGTGGCAGGCACAGCCTGGCTCATGGCTGTCCATGGAGATCTTTCTTCTGGCTGTGTGATCCCACACCACCCTGGCATGACACAGGACGTGGGAATGGTCTAGCAACAGATGAGTGGCTGGTAAGATCCACATGCAGCAGTGGGTGTGAGCTGGCAGAGACCTTCTCTCAGGCTGTGCTTCTGCTGCGGTTGAGATGTGCCTGGATCTCTGATTATTCTAAGGCCACTGGGCTGGCAGAGCCTCAAGCCCCCATCCTGTTACACTCTCCTGTCCTCCAAAAGTGGGGTCTATAGCTGCAGGTGCGCTGGCACCGCTCCTGACCCATGCTGACTTCTGAACTGTGCATGGGCATTGTCCGTGGGAGGGCTAGTCGGCTGGTGCCAGACACCATCCTGGGGACCATTCTAACCAGTTCCAGCAACTGGGGACAAGGGCAGAGTCAATGGGAGGGTTTGTATGACTGAGTGCTCTCTCTGCAGCAGGGTCAAAGTGCTCTCTCCAGATATTTAGGGAAGCTGCTCTAGGAACAGGATGGTAGAGAGAGATGCTCTGGCTGAGCCCTCTGGCACACAGCTCTCTGGACGTCCTGCGCCAGGCTTGCTCTGGACCACAGTCTGTAGCCACCGCAGGCTGTCCTCCACAGACCTGTGTGGTCATGTCTGCAAGTCCAGGACTGGCATCAGCCTCTATAACATCCTGTGGCAACAAGGCCTGTTATTTAATCACACTTTGCAGGGAAAGTATTTTCACTGGGAGCTTCTAGCTCCTGTGCTGCGGGCAGTCATGAATGGTTAGTCTCTGTTATTAGCTAATTGTTATGTAGGTAAAATGGTAGATAAAATTACATATATATATAAAAAAATAAAGATTAGACAGTAGTGAGGGACTAAGAGCAGGTACCTCAGGGAGCCTGCTGTAAGCGGCTGCTTGCAGTGATCTCTCCCATTCAGGCATGTACCTTGCAATTAGTGTGACCAGTCACAGTCAATCCAGCGGGTACCCTCTCCCCATCAGCCATAAAAATGCAGCACCGTAAACCAAGACGCCAGTTGCACTGCCTGAAGTGTTTCAGAGGAAGGCAGCCGTGCTCTCGAGCAGACATCAGAACAGCCATGCAGAGTCAGGCCAAGGGTCTGTGTAGTCCAGAGTCTTGTTTCCATCTTGAGCCATAAGTGGACAACAGGGGAAGGATGAAGAATGGGGCAAGGTGTGTAATATTTCCCTGATTTCTATGTCAACCTCTGACTATTTTCAGCTCAGTGGATTTCATGAGCTGGATGCATTTTGGGTCTGTGTAGTAATCCTTGAGGGATGTCTCGCATGCTGTCACCTGGTCTGTTCTGGAAGCCCTATAAACTTTCAGCATCTACAACATTGCGTGGTGATGAGGCCACAGACTTGTAAAAACCGCAAAAATGAAACCCAAAACATTTCCTTGGGAACACCCATCTCCCATAAACTACAGTGACTGATGTTAATGATATGTTTAAGTCATTATCAGGGTCACAGCTTAATTCTCCAACTGTTTACCTAACTGGTCTAAAAGTCTCTGAGTCATGGCTTTTCATCCATTTAAATATTGGATTGATGCTGGTATAGATGGATCACAATGGGGGAGAGGTTTATCCTAGCAGTCACAGACCAACCCCTGCCTCTTTGGGGACCCTGCCCATGGCTTCAGGCTCTTCTCTGCAGCCAGCAGCTCTGGTCCCACGTTGTGGCTCCAGCCCTAGAGAGCAGCTTCGCTGCCCTCCCCTGCCTGACTCCACTGATGCAGCTGAAACCTCCCAGGAGGTGATGGGCTGGTTGTGCTGCCTGCTCGGGTGGTGCTGGGTCCCGGACAAAGCGGAGTGCTGTGGTCACGCCCTGGAGCAGGCGACACCTATGTAGGACATGGATGTCGCGTAAACACCCTATACTGGAAAGACGTTGCCCAACTGCAAGCTATCATTAGCTGGTCTCTAATCAGACGTCCTGATGCCGGGGCTTGGCTGTACACGCAGCTCCTGGGGCAGGAGCTGGCTGTCCTTTCAAGCTGTCGCTGCAGCCCAGCCCAAGAAGCCCCAGTGGAAGCGGTTTTCCAGCCGGAGTGAGCAGGGGTGGCCCGGCAGTGCCGTGGTCCCAAGCCCTGCCTGCGCCCCGGGGAGTGAAACCATGTCAGCCCCCCCAGCCTGGTGCTCACCTCACAGCCTCCTGCTGCTGGGCTCCCAGCCGAGACCCACCGCACAAATAGGCAGCCTGCTGTCTCGGGTGCCTGCAGGCTCAGGCAGGTCCCATAGCTCTGGTTGCTTCCTTCCCGTATCTCAATGTCCTGATCTGCTCAGCTGGAGTGTTGAGGACACAAAGCGCATCGTATGGAGCAGCAGCTCCATCCAGCCCTGGTGCCACTCTGTCACTTTGTCCCTTCTTGGAAAAGACCGAGTCCTGCCTGGAGACCTCCTGCTCACCAGTCCCCTGGGCCTCAGCAGTTGCCCTCTGAACACTAGGTTTTGGGGTAGAGGCAAGGTCCCCACATCCCTTGCAGGCCCCTGGTATCTGCACGGAGGGTGCCATGCCGAAGGGGGGGGCTGTGTGGTGGCCCCGGTGCCCCCTCCAGACGGGCTCTGTCCTACCTGCTGGACACGTATCCAGAGCGGCTGGCTCCTCAGCAGGCTCTGGTCCTCCTCCTCCCGCCGCCTCTCAGCCAGGATGAGCAGCTGAGGCAAGCTCCCAATTTAAATCCTTCCCTTCCCTGCCCCTAGGGATGACACGGTGGCCCTGCCCCGTGCTGAAATACAGGAGCACAGCTGAAATACTGACATCCGACCACCGCAGCACAGTGTCACGGCAGCCCCAGCCCCAGGAGCCCAGGTCAGGTGGCAGGGGCCGGGGCACAGTGACTGGCTCCTGTGTGAGACGTGGGGCACGTCTTTCACTGGACCTTGGGCAAGTGATGGCTGTGAAGGGTGCAGAGGCACGGTGTGGCTTCTGGACTCTCCGCCACCACCTTCTTCTGATGGGTGCCCAGCACAACTGCTCGTGGACTGCCCTGCCCGCGGTCCTGGCTGCCATGAAGGTCTCCATGGATCTGGGCTTGTTCAATCTGCCGTTGCTCTGGCTGAGTCCCTTGGCTGGGGAGCTGCAGCCCCGCTCCTGCAGCTGTCCCTGCTGCCCAGCCGGGACAGAGACCGAGCCTGTCCCTCATGGTGGCCATGCCTGGGACCATGCTGGTACCAGAGCTGTGGTGGCTGCTGGCGTTGTTTGCAGTGCGTGGAGTGAGTTGTCAGTGCCTCCAGCCAAAGCAGCCCCAGGATGGAAACTGTCATGCTCCTGGTGAGCAGGGAGGGCCAGCCCCATGCTGTGGCCAGTGTCTGCCCAGGAGCTTGGGGCACATGGTCAACCACTTGCTTGCAGAGGGCTTGCACCGGCTGACCAGCTGGCAGAGGCAGGCTCATGGCTCTGGCCAGCTTCGGGCTGAGCAGGGCTGAAGCTCAGTCCCACGTTTGGGTCCGTTTCTGTGTCGGCGTAGGATGGGCCACATCCCATCAGACCGCAGCCACAGCTCTGGTGAAAGGGCTTGCCTGGCGCCCACTTCCAGAACAAGGGTGGTTTTGGTTGGATTGTTCTGGTGTGCAGTCATTTGTGTAGCTGTGTATGTGCTTGGGTGTTGACTGTGTCTGTGGCTGGGTGCATTTGTGACTGCGTATATGCTCACATCAACCTGCACGTGTGTCTGTGTCTCGACGTGTGTGCGTGAGTGTACATGCTCTTGTGTGACTGCGCGTGGGCGACCTCGAGTGTGTGCATATGTGACAGTGTATATGCAAGGGAGAGACGGTATATATGCTTGGGGGAGCCTGCATGTGCAGCTGCACATACACGGGTGTGTGTGACTCTGTGTGCTGGTGTGGCTCGGGCCCTGTGTGGGTGTGCATGACTCGGTGCCCCTGTGCAGAGGAGGTGCTGCCTGCCCCTGCCCTTCCTTCCCTGGGTGTCCTGCTTTG